CCCAGGTCCACCCGAACAAAGCCGGCGCGTGCGGGGCCTGGCTACTCACAACAAGAAGCTCATGTTGGCCGCGGTGCAGGCTGCAGGCTCGGGGGTTGCGAGGCCTCGGAGCGGCGTCGGCCAGGAAAGGAGAGAAAACGCAACTGGAACAGGAGACAGGGAGGCGGAGGAGGAGGTGCGGAGACCTGGTTGCTCGGTGGCCGCAACTAGTTCGGCTCAGCTAGTTCCAATGGCAGGCGGAGGGGGCGGAAGTGGGTAGCGCTCGTCTTGAATCACTCCAGGGGAGGGGAAGGAAAGGGAGGCGGGGCAGGGCTGCAGACTCTCCGCGCGCCCCTCCCCAGCTCCCGGCCGCCCCCACCTCACGAGCTCTCGCGATAGCGGTGCAAGCCCACCCCTCCCGTCTGGCTGCGGCCTGGGGTCCCTCACCTTCTGGTCCTCTCTGCTGCCAGGGACCACGCCCAGCGTGTGCGCAGGGGCCGCCCGGCCACCCTGTCTACCCGGTTAGGGGTCGTGGCAGAGCGCTGGGAGACGCTCAGCTGGGCTCCGGAGGTTAGGGGGGAAGTGGGCTTCCGCTCCGAGATGTCAGGGTCCCGCAGTGAGGGATGGAATTACCACGGAGTTAGGCCCACAGTGAGTGCCCGGCCAAGGGCGGTGAAAGGTGATGGCATCTTGCTCTGCTACCACTTAAAAACAGGAGGGAGTTTCATCAGGTTGGAATGGCTTGGAGGAAAAGGATCAAATGGGTTTTCAAGGTCTCTGTCTTTTTATAGTAATATTTGTAAACCCTGAACTAGGGGAAGGTCAGGGTCCGTGACTACCTGAACAGGCAAGCCAGGCTGTCATCAGCAGCTGGGAAAAGTAAGCGAGCCAAGGAGGAGAGCTGAGCTCAGTTCACCGCAGAACCCAGCAAGGTAGGGTGGTCATCGGTGTAACCACTTAGGGAGCCAAAGCTTGTAAGCATTCTAACGTACAGAATATCCTAGAAGCTATTCAGACCCACTTGCAAAGGGACTTTTATTCTCACAGGGTTATGGAGCCCAGGGCAAGCCTTTATATTCTGTTTAAGAATCCTTCACATACCTTGAATATGTCACCACAGCATTACCAATTTAGGGGGGAAATGTGAGTACCCAAAAGATGTCCATCTTCTTACAACACCCATGAAATCCACACGTTTTCAAAGAATCTGAGCAAAACAAATCATGTGCAGATATTAGCTCACCTTTGGCTTATTCCAAAGGACAGAATACACTTTGAAGTAGGTACAGATATGAAATGTATTATACTGCATTTATGCACTATTATTTCGCACGTTGGTAAAGTGGTTAAAAAAATTTTTAAAAAAACCTTTTTAGGCCGGGCACAGTGGCTCATGCCTGTAATCCCAGCACTCTGGGAGGCCGAGGTGGGTGGGTCACCTGAGGTAAGGAATTCAAGACCAGCCAAAGTTCAAGACCAGTTCAAGACGATGGCCAAGCCCAGTCTCTACTAAAAATACGAAAATTAGCCTGGTATGGTGGCACACACCTGTAATCCCAGCTACTTGGGAGACTGAGGCAGGAGAATTGCTCCAACCCAGGAAGCAGAGGTTGCAGTGAGCAAAGACCGTACCACTGCACTCCCCACTGGGTGACAGAGTGAGACTCCGTCTCAAAAAAAAAAAAAAAAAAAATTAATAGAAGAAAATACTAGAATCTTGCACTATCTCAGGAAGAAAAGAAATTACTGGAATGAGAAAACTTACAGGCTCAAAAGATTACCAGATCAGGATAAATAGCTGATGCATGCAGAGCTTAATACCTAGGTGATAGGTTCATAGGTGCAGCAAACCACCATGGCACACACGTTCACCTATGTAACAAACCTGCATGTCCTGCACATGTATCCTGGAACTTTAAACTAAAAAATTTTTTAAAGATTCCCTAAAAAGAAGAAAGAGGAGGATTTATCTTAATGAAAAGAATAGATTTATGATATAAAACCCTGTGCTCCAAATATTGATATGGTACTGACTTACTGTATAAATCTTTTTTTTTTTTTTCAAGATGGAGTCTCACTCTGTCGCCCAGGCTGGAGTCCAGTGGCGTGATCTCGGCTCACTGCAACCTCTGCCTCCTGGGTTCAAGCAGTTCTCCTGCCTCAGCCTCCAAAGTAGCAGGGATTACAGGCGTGTGCCACCACACCCAGCTAATTTTTGAATTTTTAGTAGAGACGGGGTTCCACTATGTTGGCCAGGCTGGTCTCAAACTCCTGACCTCGTGATCTGCCCGCCTCGGCCTCCCAGTGTGTTGGGATTACAGGTGTGAGCCACCACGCCCAGCCCTGTATAATTCTTTTAAGGGTCTTCTGAAAGTAAGACTTGCATTACGTTACTGATTATCTTTGGAAAGAGTAAGTGAGTTGACCTGTTATAGCCTCAGTTTTAGCCCAATTAAAGTGAGAGCCTTGTATCATTACATGATCTCTAAGGTATCTTTCAGTTCTAAAGTTCTCTCCTGCCAGGGGCATCCTTCAAATTACTGGCACACATTTCCAAACTGCTCCCTGATTTGGCTTAGGTAGCCTTAGTTTTGGTCTGACATAATTTAGATGTATCCTGTGACACTGAATAGAGGAAAACATTGGCAGAGGAAAAAATCTGCAAAAATACCTTCTGAGTATTTCTTTATCATACCACTAGGAGAGTTGCCTGGAATTAACACCTGATAAAACGTAAATATATTGGCCTAAATGTGAGGGAGGTTTCAGGTTAATAATACACAATATGATTCCAGCTTAGACTTTAAATCAAATGATGACTGTCACATAAAAGTATTCAGTATGCCAAAAACATTGGGAATTTCAGAATCAAAAGAGGTTATATTCAAATAGATATTTATAATTATCATTTCTCCCTCACCAGTCTACATTTCCTACTACATTCTTCTAAAAATTTCAATTTCAAGAAGCTACTCTCCTGACCAAAATCTAATAACCTTTTGTTTATGGAGCAAGATTATTAAAATTTCTGTTCTATCCAACTTTTCAAAGAATTGAAATTATACTATAACAGAACAGAACATGAGTGGGCATATGCTCTTTAAATATTCATTTGAATAAAGACACATGCACACATATGTTTATTGCAGCACTATTTACAACAGCAAAGACTTGGAACCAACCCAAATGCCCATCAATGATAGACTGGATAAAAAAAATATGGCACATATACACCATAGAATACTATGCAACCATAAAAAAGAATTAGTTCATATCCTTTGCAGAAACATGGATGAAGCTGGAAACCATAATTCTCAGCAAAGTAACACAAGAACAGAAAGCAAACACTGCATGTTCTCACTCATAAGTGGGAGTTGAACAATGAGAATACATGGACACAGGGAGGGGAACATCACACACCAGGGCCTGTCACTGGGGTAAGGGGCAAAGGGAAGAAAAGCATTAGGACAAATATCTAGTGCATGCAGGGCTTAAAACCTAGATGACAGGTTGATAGGTGCATCTAACCACCATGGGGGTTGATAGGTACAGCAAACCGCCGTGGCACATGTATACCTATGTAACAAACCTGCACTTTCTGCACATATATCCCAGAACTTAAAGTAAAATTTAAAAAAAAAAAAGAGAAAAGCAAATATATATGTGTGTGTGTGTGTGTGTGTGTGTGTATATATATTTATATATATTCATTTGAGGCTGGATGCCATGGCTCACACCTGTAATCCCAGCACTTTGGGAGGCCAAGATAGGAGGATTACTTGAAGTCAGGAGTTTGAGACCAGCCTAGTAAACATAGCGAGACCCGATCTCTATAAAAAAGAAAAAAAAAAAAAGAATAAATATATCCTAAGTGTATTTTGGCATGCTACACAATCTCACTTAACAAAGCTAGCAATTCAACCTGACCCTTATCAGTGCTCCTTAGATTTTAATTCTATATCTTGCTTCATTAAAGACTAACCAATGTACAATTTTAAGTGCTTCTCAAGGACAGATTAATTTGACATAATAGAAAAGAATGGGCCAGGCGTGGTGGCACACACTTGCAATCCCAGCACTTTGGGAGGCAGAGGTGGGCGGATCTCTTGAGGTCAGGAGTTGGAGACAACTGGCCAACGTGGTAAAACCCCGTTTCTACTAAAAGTACAAAAGTAGCCAGGCATGGTGGCACGCCCTGTAATCCCAGCTATTCAGGAGGTTGAGACACAAGAATCACTTGAACTTGGGAGGCAGAGGTTGCAATAAGCTGAGGTCACACCACTGCACTCCAGCCTGGGTGACAGAGTGAGACCCTGTCAAAAAAAAAAAAAAGAAAGAAAAAGAAGTGGCTTTTTCTTTCATCACAGTGGCTCATGCCTGTAATCCCAGCACTTTGGGAGGCTGAGGCGGGCAGATCACCTGAGATCACGAGTTTGAGACCAGCCTAGCCGACATGGCAAAACCCCGTATCTACTGAAAATACAAAAATTAGCCTGGCATGGTGGTGGGTTCCTGTAATCCCAGCTACTCGGGAGGCTGATTCGGGAGAATCGCTTGATCCTGGGAGGCGGAGGAAGAAGTGAGCCAAGATCACACCACTGCACTCCAGCCTGGGCAACAGAGCAAGACTCCAACTCAAAAAAAAGAAAAAGAAAAAGAAAGGAATGGAGACATGAAAGACTGATGAAGCTTGGTGTCTTTCAGTGCATTCATTTATTGCTAAAACCCACAAAGCATCAAAACACAGAGCCTGCCAGGTGTGATGGCTCACGCCTGTAATCCCAGCACTTTGGGAGGCCAAGGCAGGTGGATCACCTGAGGTCGGGAGTTCGAGACTAGCCTGACCAACATGGAGAAACCCCGTTTCTACTAAAAATACCAAAAAAATCAGCCGGGTGTGGTGGTGCATGCCTGTAATCCCAGCTCCTTGTGAGGCTGAGGCAGGAAAATCGCTTGAACCCAGGAGGCGGAGGGTGTGGTGAGCGGAGATCGTGTCATTGCACTCCAGCCTGGGCAACAAGAGTGAAACTCCGTCTCAAACAAAAACAAACAAACAAAAAAACAGAGCTTATTATTTAATGTTTAAAATGGAAGAAGGAGCCTGGGCGCTGTGGCTCACGCCTGTAATCCCAGCACTTTGAGAGGCCGAGGCAGGTGGATCACCTGAGGTCAGGAGTTCGAGACCAGCCTGGCCAACATGATGAAACCCTGTCTCTGCTAAAAATACAAAAAAATTAGCCGGG